CGCGAACCGGTTGAAACCCACCCCTGATCCTCATCTTCTTTGTGGCAGCCCTTCAAATATTAGAACACTGCTATCATGTCATCCCTAGTCCTTTTTTTTCATTAGACTAGACATACCCAATTACTGCAACCATTATCCATGTAGTGTTTGTCCGAAGTTACAGTGACACTGAAAAAAGAGATTTGCAACCAATCCTTGCATTTTCAATCATTGTCATGTGGTCAGAATTCAGGTGTTTGGCAACTGGTATGTATTTACAATGGTTGCAGCATCCTAAAATCATGTGTTGGCCATCTGCAACCTCCTTATCTGGTTTCTGACAAGCAAAGTCAAATCAGCAATATTTGTTTAATAGCCACATAACTCACTTAACAACAGTGATTTGCTTAACACCCATGGCAAAATCAGGCAGTTACTTAACAACTGTTTTACTTAGCAATAGAAGAAATATGGATCCCAATTATGGTTGTACGATAAGGACTATATAGCAAAAGCAATAGCACTTAGACTTATATACCGTTTTTGTATTTATTTTATACAATGACAATAAATACTATACTACTACTACTACTACTACTACTACTACTACTACTACTACTACTACTACTTCAGTGCTTACAGCCCTCTCTAAGTAGTTTACAGAGTCCGCATATTGTCCTCAACAATCTGGGTCCTCATTTTAGCTGTGGAGGATGGAAGGCTGAGTCAACCTTGAGCCTGATGAGATTTGAACTGCTAAATTGCAGGCAGCCGGCAGCCAGTAGTCAGAGAAGTAACCTGCAGTACTGCACTCTAACCACTGTGCCACCGTGGCTCATGTAGCTTTTGCTCTAATTTCAGCATCAAGATTGACCCAGTAGAATTTACAGGAGTTTGGGAAAGCAATCAATATCTGGCATTCTGGTATTAGAATATATATTTCCTGATTTTACTTGCTAAGAGAAAAATTGGCCATGGTGTTGAACTTTTCAATCTGAGAAATGTAATTGAGAGTGAAATTTAACCTTATTTTTTTTGAGTTTTTGTAAGCTTTTCAGTTGATCTAGCTTATTGCATGAATGCATTTTTAAATCGTTTTTTGTTTATGCATCCACTGAACGTCATTTCACTTTTGGTTTTTCTTTTTGTTCTGCTCTGCCTTCTGTTTAAGTTCTACTGGCCCAGGGTATGTCAACTTGCATTCTTACTTCTATGTAGATGGTTGGTTTTGAGATCGATATCCAAACCGGTGTGTTTTGTAGAATTATTATTGTTTTGTTTAGAAATTATAGCTATTTATACGATGTTAGCATAACAAATTATAGCAACATAACTTTTATATTGTAGCTCTGCTTTTTTTTAAAATAGCGTTTTGAGTGGCAGCCTGTTTAAACTGGCCGAATCAAAGCGACCCTTAAAGCCAAGGCGAAAAGAGAGGAAGAAAGTAATGGCACAGAATCTCTCAGATGGTGATATAAAACTCTTGGTTAATGTTGTTAGAGCGTTTGAGCTTCCTGTTAGGAAGTCTGCTGGGAGGTAAGCAACTTTTAGCAATGTTCTTTGGTGTATTGGACACACTGCTTTAGTCTATATGCCTGCTGACCACAATCTTAGACAGCAGTACTGGAATATTTACCCTCCTCCCCATTTTTAATTAGCAGTACTTTATTGTTACATAGCCATGTATCTTACCTTTCAAAGCTTTAACTGTGCTTGTTCCATTCCTCCAGGCATATAATCCAAAAGACCCTGAAAAGGTCATGAAAAACACTTCTCTTGTGATGTGATGGTATGTAAGAAAATGAGAAGAGCTGCAGCTAAGGCAATGGTAGATCTCAGCCCAAAGAAGGCATGTTAAAATCTCAGAAGGCACCCTTCCTAGTTCCCTGGAAAGTAAAGGCAAGGGTAGAGGACAGGGGGATGTGCTTCTAGATTTGGAAGATTCTGTTCTTAGAGGCTATAATACCTTATAATAATTGTAATACTTTATATACTGTGTTTCCCCAAACATAAGTCCTACCCTGAAAATAAGCCCTAGCCCGATGTTTTGCCTGCAATAAATATCAGCTCCAAAGTAAGTCATACTTAAGGTTACTTAAGAGCCAACACAGCCACCCAGCTGCTCATTCTGTTTGGTTGCTGCCGATACGAGGTGAGGAGGGATTAGTGCATGTGCTGCGGCCACAAGGTGAAGCACTGGGAAGATGGAGGACGAAGTGAGGCAATCCAAAACATATAAGACTGAGTCTTATTTTCAGGGAAACAAGGTAGGTAGTCTTCAACTTTACAACAGTTCATTTAATGACCAAAGTTACAATGGCATTGAAAAAAGTGACTTACGTTAGTTTTCACACTTACGTCCATTGTGGATCCCCAGAAGTCATATGATGAAAATTCTGATGCTTGGCACTGATTCATATTTATGATGATTGCCATGTCCTGGAGTCATGTGATCACCTTTTGTGACCTTCTGACAAGCAAAACCAATGGGGAAGCCAGATTTTAACAACTGTGTTACTAACTTAACAACTGCAGTGATTCACTTAATAACTGTGGCAAGACAGGTCATAACTCCCTTAACAAATATCTCACTTAGCAACAGAAATTTTGGACTCAATTGTGGTTGTAAGTTGAAGACTACATGTAACAAAAGTAGTGTTAGTACTCATGGTGTTGATTTCTCATCTAGACTGCTTCAAAAGGCAGCTTGCAAGTGTGAAAGCACATCTCTCCCTTCCCCATCCTTCCATTTTCCAGGAAACTAGGGAGAGTCCTTTCCAAGAAATTGCCAGGCCCCCATTCCTGCTGTATGCTGAGATCTCTCTTGTGTAACCATTGCCTACACTGTGGCTTTTTCTCCTGTATTTCAAGGTCATTTCCACAAACCATCATGTGAATATCCCAGGGTTTTTCAAAACCTGTTCTATATAGAATCAAAAACGTTTCGTTACCTTTCTGATGATTACATCATCAGATGCTAAATATTTGATTTTGCAGTTCAGATTAGGAGCAGCTGAACAACCCCTTTTACAGACAAAAAAAGACTGAGCAAATTTTGTGAAATAAGGGTGTGGGGAGAACAGGAGCTAACGTTTTCCAGTTATGGTTCCAGCTTGGTACCTTTCTCTTCTGTTCCAGGACCTACTGAAGTAAGATAAAACATCTCTGAAGTGTATTTAGTTTAATAGTTAATTCTTGCCATCTTTAGTATTTAGTATTAGTATTTAATGGATTTATAGGCCGCCCAATCCCAGAGGACTTATTTCACTTGAAATATTTAAATGGCGTTAATATTATTTTAGTTTCATTATTAATTTTATTTTTCATTATCACTGCTATTATAACTTACATTTGTAGTGTGGTAACTTTAGTCAGTTGTTGGTTTTTTAATTTATTCACATTTACTACATTTTAACTGTTACAGAGATCAGCAGTACAGTATATAAGTAGCACAAATAAGATCCGTGTATGGGGGGAAGTAAATCTGTACTTGTTCATGCTGAGTCAAATTGTTTTGGGGGTTTGGGTGGGTGTAATGTATGTGTGCAAATTGAAAAAAAAATAGCAAAAACAAGAAGGGAAATAATTTATTTGTATTGCTGTGCAAATGTCATCATCTCTTTTGCAAAATTTGTACTTAAAATAATTTTGTTTTATTTTTTTTCAAATCCTATTGGAAGTTTGTTGACTTTTTCTACATCTTTTTGTAAAGCAAACTTCAGCAGCCATCTAAATCATCGTGGGCTTACAATGAGATGTTTGTTGCTCCTGCAACTCCACACAGCCCCAACCACAGTATGGACTGGACATTTAGCCAGGTACCTTACAGTGCCATGAACCTGGAGGGGATAAATAGATAAATAGTTGAATAATAACAATATCCTTATTCTTTTTTATGGATAGAGATCACCATTCCACTATTCTTGATGGGTTCATTCTGTGAAATTGATAAATATAGCTGTTAAGACTAAAAAAAAAAGATTTAATGCTTCTAGTGGTAGTATATTCTTCTTTTATCCTGTAGAAGAAGAAATATTCCTAATTGGATTATTATATTGGCTGCCTAAGTCCACTGGACTCTTTAATATATTTTAAATACTATTTACCAATGCATTTAAATAACATTTTCCTAAGAATGTACTGTATGTTTATTGAAAATTGTTTTTTCTACTTTTTTCTTTGTAGCTTGCTAAATAATATCAGTTTACATATAATGTTCCATATATTGATCAGAAAGTAATAGACTTGGGTCTCCCACATGCCAAGTTAAAATGCATGTGAAATACTGAGGGGTTCAGTTTATTTTAACATCTACCTAGTCCTGAAATCATAATAGTGTCTTTGTTGGGTCAATCCTGCCACCAAAAAAAAAGAAGAGAAAAACACAATTCCCACTTCCTGAATCCGATAAACCAACATACCCTTTACAGATTGGGCTAAACGGAATGTATTCATTATATTCTTACAGAGTTTTGATCATGTGCTTTTCATGAAAATTATCAATAGTGATGTAGCCTTTTTGATAAATTTTGAATTTGAAAACTTTCAAGAATGTTTTCCAAGAGACTTCCCTTTATAAATGAGCATATTTCCACTTAGCCTATTCATCTTGTTATCCATAGTCTATGTTATTTGATTTGGGGGAAAAGTTTTATAAACTTTGAACACTAAATGTAAAGATTTTTTTAAAAAAATCTTTGATGTTCAGATAAATTTTATTAATATTAGTGTTAGAAGCATGGAATGTTAGAAATGGTATTGAATAGGTAATCAAACAATAAAATATCATACTATTTTAAAAGCCAAATTTACATGAAATAGAAAATGTTGACCCTGGAAATTTTTTCCAGAAAGTGTCCATATCTATGACTGTAAAAATAACTATTTATATATTTATTTTAATGGATATTTATAATATGCTTGGAGATATCTACAGTTTCTACTTTTAGTTGGAAAATGTAGTTTGACATATCCGAGCTTTGCGTCTCATCTAATATATCAAAACTTTGAGTTCTGTTTAATTGTAGGTTTCAGTTCGGCCTTTTGTGGAGGTTTCTTTCCAGCGAACAGTTTGTCGGACGACCACCGCAGAAGGGTCAAATCCAAACTGGAGTGAAGAATTGGAACTTCCATTTAGGTGTGAATGGATCCCATAAAGCCTTCTTTCCATTGGAGAAGAACTACATTGGGTGGGACAAAAAGACCAAGATCAAATTGTGCATTTGGATTATTTCTCCTCCTCCTCCTCTTCTTTTTCTCCTTTAGGTTTCTGAAGGAGGGAGGTTTTGAATTGGTCTTCATTCGTTTAAGCCAAATTTGGAAAGATTTCTTGTCCGCGTTACCTACCCCTGTTATTTAGCATTTTTATTCTGTACCTCACAAAGTGGCAAATAAAAACTTTGTGTAAAGATTTCAGTTGCTTTAGATGAATCCCCAGCAATAGGTATAACAAAATAGCCTAGCATTTTTCTGAAAATAAAAGCAGTTTTGATTTCTGTAAAAGACCGCAAAGGAACTGAGTTTGAAAACATGGCTGAAGCGTGAGAAAAAGTTCATTGTGCCCCAGATCTTGATTCTACCAGTGTATCACATTCCATCTCAAGCTTTGGGCATTTTTTATCATTCCCTTATTGAATGAGATAGCTTCTGTTCACATCTGAATGAAAGATTGGGATTCTGATGGGGTGGGGGGGTCAAACCTTTGAATTAGTAATACTCTACTAATCCTTCTAATGGAACAGGTTATTGGATATTGCATTGTGATGAAATCATTATAAAAATTGAGTTAGTCTTAGAGAATAGGGAAGAAGGTAACCAAGCTGATGTATTTTGCAAATTATATTTTGATCTGTACTGTATCTGTTTTAAAATATCATTACAGAGCTCCTAACAGTGACTATAGCATCTCTAGTCTGCAGTCAGTGAAGGATGACATCTTCATTAACATCTTTGATGAAGTACTTTATGATATCTTAGAGGTGAGCAAATCATCTGAAAAATTCTCTTGAGCCTGTCTGTTGAGAAAACAAAATGAAAAGAGCTGGAAGGTGAGTTTCAATAAATTCCCCTAATGGAGTCCCAGACACAGAATACTCAGATCTGAAAAGCAAAGTGCTCTCTCCAGGATTTGTTGACCAGAACAGATTATTATTATTATTATTATTTATTATTTATTTGTCTTGTATGCCGCCCACTCCCGGAGGACTCCGGGCGGCTCACAAAAGACAAGGGAAAGGGGGAAACGAGACAAGGACAGCATATCATAGCCGAGGTGGCCCAGTGGTTAGGGTGCAGTACTGCAGGCCACTTCAGCTGACTGCTATCTGCAGTTCAGCGGTTCAAATC